AGCTGCCGTTGCCAGCAGCAACACGCCCACTAAAATCACGCTGCCCAATTTGGTTAACCTAGGCATACTAACGCCGGCCACCTCGCCCACCAAGAACACACAAACCTTGACTTTCACCACCACGGCCGGCAGCCAGCAGCAGCAACAACAACAGGCTCTGGTGGCAACGCTTTCGACCAACATGCTACAGCAGCAACAACAGAAGTTGCCCAAGACAAATATATTGCTGCTGCAGGAGCCAAACACGATTAACACACATTTAATACAGTCGCCGCCACAGCAGCAACAACAGCAACAGCAACATGTGCTGCCCATCAGTCCCACCAGCAGCATTGGCAGCAGCAGCGGCAGCAAGAGCAGCTCACCCACACCACCCCAACAACAACAACAGCAGCAGCAGCAGCAACAACAACAACAACAACAACAACAACAGCTGCACAAGAGCTCAGCTGCTGCTGCTGTTTTAAAACAAAAGCATGTCATGGTCAACAGCCTGGCGGCAACATCAGTAGCCACAGCAACAGCAACAAGTGCTTCCAGCGTCGAGCCGATGGATACGGATGAGGCGGCAATTGTTGCTAGCGATGCGTTAACTTTAACGAGTAACAGCAGCATGAACTCAAATGCTGCCACTGGCACAGTTGACGGCAAGGATATGCCCTCGTCCATTTCAGCGGCTGTCACTACGGGCACCATCACGCTGGCAGCCATTGAAGTTGTTGGCGCCGGCGTTGTCAACAGCGAAACGTAGCCTATACTCAAGAAACTACTAATGCGCCGTCAGTGCGCGCTAGAGGCGGCGCCTTCTTTACCAGACTAAAAAGCAAGCGCCGCTTCTCGTATACGAACAAAAAAAAAAAAGGAAAACATTTACAAAAAAAAAAAAGAACAAAACAAAAAGAAAGAAAAAACAGTAAACATTCTAACAATACACTGTAAAGGAACAACTTTGTTCTCACTGCTTAGTTAATGTACTCAATTTTTAGTTATTATAACTTTAAGGTACGCCCCCATTTCCACTCGCTTGAGTGAGTTAAAGGCGGGGGATGGGGGCGTTGTCACTCACCAAAACCCATTGGAAAAACATTTTGTAGACTGCTTTTTAATTTTTGGCTTACTTTAGACCAGAGCATGTATAAGTTGTCTCTTTAATATTTGTATTATGTATTATGGAAACGCGAATCGTATAGATTGTGCAATATGATTTTGTATACAACATTTTTAGTTAGCGATTAACGGCTGATCTCCACTTAATTTAATTTAGACTAAGTTAAAACATATATAGACGAAACAATTGCAACACGCAACACAATTGTAATAAACTGCAAAATATTTGAATTTATTTTCCAAGCTAACAAACACTTTTATTGTCAGACCCAGACTAAATGTATGTGTATTATATGATATAGAACTGCAAAACAAAAGTATTATTTATGTTTAAGCTCTAGCAAAATGAATTTCATATAGTAACACACATATTTTAATATACACATATATATCTAGCTAATCAATAAGCAATTAGCTTAACATTTAGCCCACAGACCTCTCGTGTATATTTTTAAGTTAACACACATTTCAATACTTTCCAACTTGGTGCAATAATATGTTTTTGTTTTTATCATCTCGCAAGTTTTACACAAATTATGTTTCTGTTGGTTTTTTTTTTTTTTTTTGTAATATTTGGTTTGCCTTTTGGTTTTTATTTTATGATTTCGTTACTTCTTTTCCTTTTCTCTCTACCTATTGCAGAAACCTCTTACTCCTGCTCACACAACAACAACAGCAACAGCAGCAGCGACAGCAGCAAGCAACTTGCAACAGCCGCAACTGCAACAGCCAAGTACAATCGGCCCACAGCAGCAGCCGCTACAGCAGCAACAAGCAAAACGTCGTCGTCAGCGACCACGCCCATGCAAATCTCGTACACCTTCATTGAGCACAAGTATTCCCTGGGTTTTAAAGAGAAATACCTGTCGAATCTTCGCGCCAGCCGTAACGCATCTGGTGCAGCGTCCAATGGCGACCAACTGGCCGCAACGGCTGCTGGCATTGGGGCAGAGGCAGCAACGATTGGCACAGTTGGTAGTGGCAGCGGCAGCGGCAGCGGCAATCCCACCGCTGGCAACATGCTTAGCGCTGTTGCTGTGGGCCAAATGTGCGCGCTGCAGAACGAGCATATACATCAAAATCTCTACAAGAAAACAATCAATTGAGTGTGTGTGTGTGAGATGAGATGAGATAAGATCGGATCAGATCAGTTCAGTTCAAATTTGGGCACAGATCGGACCGCATATATATAGAGTTGGCTGTGATGAAGTAGTTTTATGTCTGAGGAGAGCAAGAGGATTTATCAATAAGGCAGTAGAGGATTAGGCAGAGAGGAGAGCATTAGGAGAGCAAATATGCAAGTTTTCAAGCCGTTCAATAATATTTTAAACAAACGAAAAAACAAACACAAGAAAACATAATTTAACTTTATATACAAATGTAAAAAAAAAAAACAATCAAACACTTTCGCACATTTCACAAACTTTAACCAAGTCTAAAAAACAACGATTGGCAGTAACAAAAACAAAAACATAAATACATATATATAAAACCTCTCTCTCTTAACACTGCATTAGAGAATTAAACAAAAAAAAAAAAAAGAAAACAAAAGAAAAATCCCATTTAAAAATTAACCATAAAATTTAGTGAATAAATTCTTGAAGTTGTTTCTTCAACTAGTCATTATTGTAGTTAAATTAAATTTTTTGATTTACATGCACATTTAGAAATTTATTACCAACTACTGCGGCTAGGAACTATATTATGTAAGATTGCAAACGATTTCGGTTAGCACGTAATAGTTGGTTTATATAATTTTCATACAAAAAATTCATCAAATTGACAACAGAAACATACAAAATCGTTTTCTGCACATTAGCTAAATTTTTCGTTAGGCACGAAGTTAAATTTGCCAAAAACTTCGTGTAAAGTAAAAACAAAAAAATAAATAAATAAAAATTTGTATCGAATATGCAAGCAAAGAAAATAGCTAGCTACAAATTACAAATAATATATAAAATACAAATCATTGAAACTGAAGGAATACAAAAAAAAGAAGCATAAGAAGAGAAGCTTAAAAGCTTCAACTGTTTCCGTTTAGAGTCCACAATAACTCTATGGTAGTTATAGTATTATATGATATAAATTATATATATATATATAGATATGTAGTTATATGTGTGTACATTTAATTTATATATGTTCTCTATTCATGTGCGTGTCTCTGTGTGTGTCTGTACGATTATGTAATTGATCTAATGCTTGTCTTAATTCAAATTAACGATCGTCCTTAAATGTAATAAATTTTATAATTCTATATATATATATATATATATATATACATATATATGTTCTATTTCTATGATGTGAGTCATATTCTAAGTATTTTATGCATGCATACAAAATTAATATTAATAATTAGAAATTATTTAAAACATAAAAAAACAACAAAATATGGTAGCGTTAATCGCCCCCAACAATAAAAAAAATGTAATTGGGTTCCTTATGTACGAATAATGCATAAAATTGAAAGAAAAGAAAGAAAAACATGATACGAAACAGAACAAATTAATTGACATTTTTAATATATACACTACCTTATACAAACATATAAAAACAATTATATATTATATATATATATACATAATATTAATAAATAATTAGTATACCTAAAGCCGCCAACCGCCAAACAACAAATTTTGATGCGCATTTGCAGACGCCCAGCGTCTTAAATTAGACTACAAACACTACTAAATAATAAATGTGCCCCCCTCCCTGAACATATATAAACTATCTTTAAGACCACACGCTTATGCGGCTTTAACCGGCCGATATAGTTTAGCTATCAACTTTTATATCAACAAATCAAATGAGAACAACGTAAAAAGCTATGCTTTGGCTCGCCGAAGCTGATATACCCTTGCAGATCAATTTAAATACAATCAATCAAGTTATTGAGAGACACATTCGTCCTTCCGCTATGATATACAGAGTCGGAAAATATCCTCTACTCACAACAAGATAGAAAATCCGTATGATCTGTAGGCGTGTACAAAAACATTTTTGCGCTACAAAATAAAAACTGGAATAGGCAAAACAAATAAACTTTGGAAAACAACTCAAACCTTCTAATGAAAACAATAAATTAAATATATACCTATTTCTATATTTAAATGTATTTCATCTTATATAAGACTGCTGTTATGTTCGTAAATATATTTAATATATATTATAATTAACGAAAAATATAAACCATACAACACATAATAAATTATATGAAGAAAAAAAAAACAACAAAAAAATGCAAGCTACATGAATAGTTAGTGTATTCATACTCTACCTATATACATACGACTATGTACTATACTATATACATACATACAGATATATATATATATATTAAATGTACTGTAATTTACTAAAACTCGTAATTATGTACATGTAGACAAATATTTGAAGCGTATGTGTATGTAACCATCAAAAATCAACTTATATTGTAACAAGGGCTAAAGTTGTAGGAACTTGAAATATGACGGGTTTTAATATCAAGTAACCTAACTACATCAAAAAACGACATCATCATTAACATTATCATCCACAAAAAAAAAAACAAAAAATAAATAAAATAAAGTAGTAAAATATTCTCTTTTTGCTTTATGTGATCTATTATACATATACATAAAACATACATAACTACATACATATATATCTATATATGTACAATAAAAAATGTCCTTGGAAAAAAATCCAACATTCTTTTCATTTTCGGTTTAAATAGGTTAAGTGTATGACACAAATAGCGTATTTTACTTTCCCAATAAGTGCGAACTCCACGTCAATTTCCTGGCATTTGGAAAAGCCTTACGCTGTAATATTTATATGATAGATATTCCATGTTCACAAGAATATTCAATTAAAAGCAACAATTTATTTGATTAAATAGTTGAGTATCATTTGAATATGTTATCATATGTTCTTCAGCATTAGCGTAGTCTGAAGTTTGCCACACACAAAATTTAATGGAACAATAATAATTGATATAATAAATAGACATATATTATTGATGGAATGTTTAGTTCAACGTCTTGCCTGAAGAATGGCTATGAAATTACAAATCTTTTCGAGCAGCGCCTGATCTCTAAGCAGCTGCATCTTTGTCTGTAGCTCATACAAGCTATGCAAATCCCGTTGCTCAAAAGCGCAATCGATGGCCTCCTCGTACAAGCTGCAAATTGTCGAGAAGTTAATATAAATATCTTTTGAGCATATAAAAATCCACAATTTACCTAGCTCGCATGTACCAGTACACCTTGCGCTTGTCCGGGCAACGTAAAATATATTTTCGCGCCTCTCGCGTATTTTCCTGCTGCAGACAAACCTCGACAAAGGGCTCATATCCAATGGGACTCTTCTTCCTCTTCGAGAAATTTTCAAGCTCCACCCAGTTAAACTTCTCGGCCAGAGAGAGTATGCGCAACCACCAGAACCTGCGATCGGGTACATTGAATTCGCTCTTGATTTTCTCCGCCTCCTTCAGCTCGCCCACATGCAGCAGCTGCAACATTGTGTCATGTATTGACAGTCCGTTCAAAGCGACGGCACCATTATGCTTGTTAAACAACGTCTTCTGAAGCTTCAGCATGCGCGAAGTGTCGTCGCAAAGTTTTGCCTCCACGGTGCATCTGCCCTGTGCGTAGCTGTTGCCAATAATCGACAGATTCGATTCGAGATCTTCGCTTTCAATGGCATTTTTAAAATGATACTCGGCAATGGACTTGTAATCGTCCTCAGTGTTGTAGATATCGTAGAGTGCGGTGCGACTGGACTGCATCATAATGTTCTTGTACATATTTAAAGCCAAGGGATATTCTCTAATTATCATCTGAAAATTGTACGGATGAGATAGCGTTATAGATTATACGAAATTCGAAATATTTACATGAAAATTAGACAGCATCATTTTCTTCTTGATTTCGAGCAGCACGGAAGTGACCAGCTCCGTATCGCCAGATTGTGTAGCACTGGCCACAGCACGCTCAAATTTGCCCATCTTAAGCAGCAGTGGAACCTGCAATGAAGCGCGAGGCTCCAACTCAAGCAGCTTAATAGCCAGTTCATCGCGTCCACTTTGATGCGCCTTCTCCGCTATATTGCAAAAGGAAATTCCCTCAATAGAGGGATTCTTGAATTTCTCCGTGATCTTGCGTGCCACCTCATTGTCATCTGTACATAATGGGAATACATCAACAGCAGTAGAATGGGAGTAGATTTGACTGGCTTACTCTGATCATGCATAACTTTATGATAGGCCCAATGTTCTAATATCCAAGATTCGGGCAACTTCAGATGCTTAGCCACTTGTATGGCCACAGCATAGTGCTTGCGAAAGACTAGACGACTCAAAATGACATCGGGGTTAAGATGGGAGAACCTGCAAAAATGTGCTTTAGTATTCCAAATTTCAATATATTATTACATAATAGTTTACTGTATATAAGTAAGAGGCATGGCGATTTTCTCGTGGCGCAGCGTATTTAAAACTCTCAATATTCTTAAGATGCGCATATACTCTTCCGGATTATGAGACGGTATGAATGCCTTGCCAAAGTAAGCTGCCTGAAATGTCATATTGAAATATTAGTTTGTAACAAGTTTAATTTGAAGAATTTTTCAATTTACTTTCATGAGGCTCTTCTGCGTTTCGGGACAGAACTCATATGCTGCAGCTTCGATGCACTCGTTGACAGCTAACTCAATGTTTGATCGGCACAGGCTCAGATACTGGTCGGATTTGTAGGATTTTTCCTCAAATTTCTTCTGTGCCTCGAATAAATAACTGGCCGGCAGTTGGCTATTAACAGCAAAGATGTTCTCCACACATTTCGGTAAACGTTGAATCATTTCATGTGAGCTTTGGGTAATAATACGCACACCATCCATTTCGGCGACCAGAAACATGACGGGATCATAGGGAAATTCACTTCTGTCCGCATTGCGATTGACAATCAGCAGATATGAGGGATAGGAAATAACGACAGCATCTGCGTCGGCGTTGTGGGTATTCATAATCCATTCAATTTGCAATGGCATATCCTTGCGGCCCGTATCAAACTCGCAGTACTTCTGCCGCATATCGACACTGCCCAGCCAGAGCAGGCCCGTGTTAGTGTACAGCGCCAGGTGCTGATGGTTATACGAAACGGATATCTTTATGATACGATCGTGTGGTTTCTCAAACAAATTGGCAATTACGGTGCCCACGGTCTGGCCATGTAAAAGTTTGATGACCTCGCGGTCGCGACCCAGCAGACAGTAGCTATTGCGACCCTCGGTCACAATCTCCCAGCATGAGCAATTCGTATTGGAATCTAGCAAAAAAATATTATGTTCATTAGGAAAGCGCTTCGGTGAACAACTAATCGATTGTCTGACTTGGTATATCAGGCAGCTTTCGTTCCGATTTGCTGCTGTTCTGCTTGAGGAAGATGCGACCGGAAGTTGTCATAACGGCCACCCCAGTGCCTGCTGCGGACTGAAAGACCTTAGCCTCTACAATCTTAATGACGCTTGCCTCGCCGCCAATGCTATACGATTCCTTTTCGTTGCCAAACATATCGTAGACAATGACCTTGGCATTTTCCAGCACGCATATAAGCTCTTCGGTGTCGGACCAGCCCATTGAGATGAGCTTTCCATGGCTCCACTGTAACTATATAATTAACATCCACTCGTTGCCCACTTCTTTCCAGATGCTTACTGATATGTGACCCATCTCATTGCCGGCGGTATCAAAAATCCTAATCATCGGCCTGGAAGTACCTTTGACGGGCACCAATTTGGTAGCATCGCGTATTGCAGCCAAAGGACCTCCATACGGGGCAGCCACAACTTGCATGTACTCTAAGTCCAAATCGATTGGCCAGTCTGGTGTTGCTAGCTCGACTTTTCTGTGGGCGTTCGACCGCAAGGTATACAGAAAATATTTGCTTCGGTGAAAAGCATAATTTGATAATTGTTTCGACAATTACCTGTAGTAGTCCGGCTGTACATTGAACCACTCACCCGTATTGTACATTATCGGCATGATTACAGATTTATTTAACAATTAATTTTAAGTAATAATAAACAAAAGTTGTGCATTTTCCGTTTGCTGCACTTGTTGTTCTTGCTAGAGAATAAAAGTATTTGCGTAACTGTTACTTAAAATAAGTCACGAGTCACTCTTATCACAGAAAATTCAACAGCGCAGGTCTTTAAAAAATGCTTAAATACAAATATAACATACTGAAATTTAAAAATTAATATTACTCTTATTGTTTTAAAGTGTATGACTAGTTGCATATTTTTTATTTTTCATATTAGCACTAACCAACAACATATGTTGTTTGGTTAGTGATACTAGGCGATGTTTTCGGCTAGCTATCGGTACAACTGGTTGGATAGTCAAACGTATCGTGTATGAGCCCCCAATCATGCATGAGCGCTGGCTCTTACACATGTGAAAGGCCAATTTCGACAGCCAGTATTATTTGCTACAAAAAACGCTTAGCACGACTTAAAAAATTATTAATTTATTAACAAATGACGGACACAAAGCAAACGGTTGTTGAGGGTGTCGAGGCACTCACCTTGAATGGCAAATCAGACGCAGAGGCTGTTGAAACGGCAACGGATGCGGGTGGTGCAGAGACAACAACAACAAACGCGGACGATGTTGTGGATCCATGGAATGTGGCTAGCAGCAACGATGCAGGCATCGACTACGACAAGCTAATAAGTATGCAATACCATTTGATGGCCATTTAAATTTGCACATCTTTGAAATTATCTATATATAAATATACACATGTTTATTTTGGTTGACACGTTGCAGAGCGCTTTGGCTCAAGTAAAATCGATGCAGAACTTATCGCACGGTTCGAAAAAATCACAGGAAAGCCAGCTCATCACTTCATTAGACGCGGCATATTCTTTTCACATCGCGATCTGCACACAATTCTTACGCTACATGAGCAGGGCAAACCATTCTATTTGTATACGGGTCGTGGACCGAGCTCTGGGTCCTTGCATATGGGCCACTTGGTGCCGTTCATTATGACCAAATGGCTGCAGGAAACTTTCGATGTACCATTGATCATTCAGCTGACTGATGATGAGAAGACCCTGTGGAAAGATCTGAAAATCGAGGAGGCTATCAGATTGGCTCGGGAGAATGCCAAGGATATTGTCGCGATGGGCTTTGACTTGAACAAAACATTCATATTTAATAATTTGGAGTTTATGGGGTAATTAGAGTTGTAGAATCGTTTACTTATCATATAATTAATCGTTGAAATTGCAGCAAATGCCCTGCTTTGTACCAGAACATAATTCGCATCCAAAAGTGCGTCACCTTTAATCAAGTGAAAGGCATATTTGGTTTCGGCGACTCGGATATTATTGGTAAAATCGGATTTCCCGCCGCTCAGGCAGCGCCGGCGTTGTCGAGCACATTTCCCTTTATCTTTGGCAATAAGAAGGTGCACTGTCTTATACCCTGCGCCATCGATCAAGATCCATATTTCCGAATGACACGTGATGTGGCGCCGCGTCTCGGCTTTCCCAAGTGTGCGCTCATCCACTCCAGCTTCTTTCCGGCGTTGCAGGGGGCTAAAACGAAAATGTCGGCAAGCGAGCAAAACTCTGCCGTCTTTCTTACTGACACACCAAAGCAGATTAAGAACAAAATCAATAAATATGCATTTTCGGGTGGGCGCACCACGGTGGAGGAGCATCGTCAACTAGGCGGCATACCCGAAATCGATGTGGCCTATCAGCTGCTAAAGTTTTTCCTCGAAGATGATGACAAGCTGGAGGAGGTGCGCGTGGCCTACAGCAAGGGTGAAATGCTAACCGGCGAGATTAAAAAGCTGGCCATTGAGGTGAGCTGCTGAAAATGATACCTGTATACACTAACTAACATTTTTTTTCCCACGCCAGACTGTCACGCCCATTGTGGAGCAGCATCAGGCAGCACGCAAGCTGGTTACGGACGAGGTGCTGGACAAATACTTTGAGATCAGATCGCTGAAATTTGGCAGTTAGAAGTATCATTAATATACACAAATAAATGTATTTATATTGATTTTTGTTTGCCACTGCTGTAAGCTTGTTGCACTCAGAAGCCTCACGTTGCGCTCGCTATTTATTTACTAAGCCAAGTAAAATTTTGTGTTATTATTTTTATAAGCACACATAAAAACAAAAAGCAAACAACAAACAATAAACGGCTAGCATTTTTCAAACGCAACGACCGACCCACTTTAACTAGTTGTAAAATAGCCGTAAAACTCCGGACTCCAAATGGGGGAGTTGGCGATCGGGCCGACACTTCGAATCTAAATGGGCTACTGGGAAGCTCAACTTATATACTTGCTGATACCGGGCAAGCATCTGGTAAAGCAGCTAAAATAATATAGTATTTAAACTCGTAGCTGTGCAAAAATGTAATAATTTCCGTGTGTAATCCGAGAGTTATTGAACGCATTCAATTTCTGTTTCGGGCATAATAATACAATATTAATAAAGCGAAAAATGAATTCAGCTACAAGCCCCGAGTCGAGTGTATCTGAAGCCCATGACGTCTCTGGGCCTACTATGCGCCTGCAACTAATATAGTTATTATATATACATATATATATATATATGTCCATATATCAAACTCTTTCCTATTGATACATATGTATGTATTTGACGTACATAAAGGTATATATGTATATATGGGCTTCTATTTTTTTTTTTTTAATTAACCCAAAACACTTGTGTTTACACGCGTCGAAAATATATATACACCTATAGCCCAGCCTATATACAGAGTTTGTCGGTGCGCGCTTGTGTATCGCATACGAAGAATGCTGCTGCAAAGAAAAACTGAACTCAAACTGAAGTTGTGGCGACGATCGAGACGACGACGACGACGACGACAGCGATCCAAAAGGCAGCTGCCCATAAGCCAAACGCGACTCCAACATTGCACACGCGCTCATCTTCAACTGTCGCTGACAATAGAAGGAAATTAAGCCGCAGCGACCTGTGCTATTGTTGTTGCTGGTGCTGCTGCAAGGCAGGTACACAAAAGGAAAAGCCGACACACGATCCCGATCACGATCCTTGTTTTTATTGACACACGTACTAAACGCACTTGTCATCGCCAGCAATTGTAGAATTTGATCAACTAGCTGACGCCATGAGCACCAGCTACAATGATGAATAGCTGATGGATTCACTCAGCTGTGGCAGCTCCGAAGGAAAAACGATTTTCTATTGAAAACTCTTCTAGCGACCATCTCAACTATATATGTACACACATATAAGAAAAAGCAATCCCGAAACGGAATAAAAAATCGAAAGTGGGGATCATTGGCCAGCCGCAGCTTGTCGCCAGCGGACGTCAAACGGCAATCGGCTTAAGCGTGATGAGTGATCAACTGCTGAGCGCTGCCGCGGACGATCCACCAGCACTAATACCCACGCCCGTGTCATTGCCCAGCGCATACAGTATCGATGCAGAGTCCACGGAGCAGCCGGTGCTGCTTGAGCTGGGCGCCGCACAGCCGGCGGCGGCGGCGATAGCGAGTCTTAACTATACACTAGCACCAGATGGAGGAGGTCTGCTCACCTATACGGCCCCACATGCGCACAGCCTCAACTATTCGCCCACGTTCTCATCCGGCTATGATAAGCAGCCACATCCTCAGCACAATCTCAGCCTGATAGCTCCTGGTATGGGCAGCGCAGCGTACAGCATCAGCATACCACAGACAGTGTCCATGTGGCATGGTGGCTGTGCGCCCATTGTTGAACCAAAACGCAGTGAACTGGTCGCTGTGCCACCGCCCACATATATGACCTATAGCGGTGGCGGAAGCGGCGGTGCCGTGGAAGTGGAGATCGCCAAGGAACAGAATCCGGCATGGCGCGAAAAGGCCTTACAAATGGAGAAGGACTATAGGCGCACGGCCTGTGATCGGGAGCGTACGCGCATGCGCGATATGAATAAAGCCTTTGATCTGCTGCGCTCCAAGCTGCCCATATCGAAGCCCAATGGCAAGAAGTACTCCAAAATCGAAAGTCTACGGTGAGTTGGCAATAATAATTAGAAATATTATGGAGTTATTTAAATACTTTGCACCTTCACAGCATCGCCATCAACTATATTAATCATCTGCAGGCCATGCTGCGTGAGAATCATGTTCTGCCCGAAACGGAATTGGTTTCCTTCAAGTGCAGCAGCCGCTCCATGCAGTACGATGGCCAGGGCCAGCACCACAATCACTCCGCCAGCTACGAATATGAGAACAGCGCCTCGGCGGCTACGTCCTCTCAAAATGGTTGCACTTGGAGCGGGGGCAGCAGCAGTTCGCCCAACTATGAAACCAATTCCAAGGATCATTGGAACACGTAGTGTTCGTAAATCAGCAGGATTAAAGTGCAATTGCCAAAGAAAGTTTCGGATTTCAAAGTTTTCATAGACGAACCTTTTTTGGTTTTGTAGATATCGCATACCAGTGTACTATGGATAATCTTACCTGTTCTTCCAGTATAAGACAAAATAAATTTTATTCTCGATAAAGCTAAATGCAACAGCCGACCTGTCAACATTGGGGGTAGCCGTATTATTTGTTCAGCTTGGCTATTGTAATCTTAAGCTAAGTTCGCAAACCTTTGATTTTTAGAAAAAATGAAAAAAAAAAAAAATAAAATAAAAAACAATACACGAATAATAATAATAAAGACATATAAATGAATTCAGCATTTCTATTATCAGGAACACTTTAATTAACATTAACGTTGCTTACGATTTTGTCCTCCAGAATAGGGATAAAGAAAGGGTCAACAAACCTAATTATCCAGAATAGGATTCTAAAAAGCTGCAGAAATAAATTATATTACTATAAACGTATCTAAATTCCTTTTTATACTTTATAATAAAGCCAAGAAATGACTCGAGCAACTCGAGATTATCGGATGTGCCTCAAGAAAGCTCCTTAAATAAATCATAATTAAAATCATTTAAATAAAGCCGTTACTTTTGACTTTTTAGGTTATATTTATTTAACGGTACATTATTAACATTTTATGGTTGATAATTTATATAAGTTTGAATAAAGAAATGACTGTTTCGACTGTTTAACCTAAAAAGTACAACAAACACAAAAGATATAACAAATTATTATAGTTGATAATGGAATTACAGAACTGCATTTAAAAGTAATAAGTTTTTAATACTTATTTTTATGTATAGCTTGTGGTAAACACAAAGCCAACTACACACTGCTCACACACGCATACACACAATTTGTCCGCTAATGATTTGAATTTAGAACAAGATTTTGTTTTGGAGCTGGAGCTCTTTGCTGACAACATAAATGGGGCGAAATAACAAAGATGGGGAAGGTTTTAAACCCAGCGATTTGTGCAGCTTTTCTATCACGTGTTTAGTTGTCCTTCTTCATTCGTGTGGAGGTCATGCGGTAAATGATGGAGTCCCTGCCGGGATCCATAGCTCCAATGGCATAGCAGATGGCCAGCAGCGACAGGCCGAAGATAACCATGAACCATAGGATAATATTGAAAATTACGGGATAGTCTTCGTTGTAGTACTCGGCCAAGTTGAAGGGGTTTGTATCATCGGCTTGGAGAGTGTCACGCTTTGAGCGTGAGTTGGCATCCTTGTCTGTGGATAGTACAAAGAGCACCGAGTCACTGGACTTTTGAGCGGCAGCCAGAAGACGACCAATGGCAGCAGAGATCAGCTTGTTGGCCTCCTCTACAGCAACGGACTTCTCTCCATGCGCCTTAGCAATGCCATCGACCGACAGGCGAATGATCAATACATTCGAGGGCTTTAGCATCTCCGCCAGGTTCTCGGAAGCGGAATTGATGAAGCCAATTTCCTGCAGGAACTGTTTATCAGCATTGTGCAACGTGGGATTCAGGTGCTTGGTGGGCTTGGCAGCGGGCGACTCAAATTCACCAAAACATGCCTTGAATGCTTGCACCTTTGGGAAAATTAAATTTACTGGATTAAGCCAGGTTTAGACACAAGCCAAAAACAACTTACGCCCTCGTCGTACTGGTCAAAGTTAATATCGCAGACTGGCTCATTGGCTGCCTCCAGCTCGGCGGCCAATGCATTCAGTGATTGTCCAGTATTGGATCCGACCAGCTCGTAGGACTTGGCATTGCCTGCCGATGTCACATGGCTAAGACCCTCCACATGCACGGCGATTACGCCCTTGGCCAGGTTGAAGGGATCGTTAATGGTCAGGCCGCTCCAGTCACTGTCGCCAACGACGGCATTGCCCATGGCAGCGTACAAAACATCGCCGACATAGCGACTGTTCAGTGGATCATTGCCCTTGAAGCTAATCGCCTTTGGGCTGTTCAGGACGGTGAACTCGCCAGCGGCGTGAACTGAAAGGTGATTGAAATTGTTATTATTTATAAAGATCACACTATACTACTTAATGTAGTTAAACACTTCAAATTTTGCACAGATTCTGCGCAAGCAGCAGCAGTTGGAAAAAAGAGCTCCCCAACATCCTCCACCCTTATTGAGAGAGAATCGATGCGAGTTTGAGTTTAAGAATTTACACAATTCAAGCACAACGCACAGTGTGAAAACTTTATGCACACAATAAATATATTGAATAACTTACTTGCTGCAACAAATAGCGAAAAAATGACGACGTTTTGCAACATTTTCATTTTTCTGCCAGCCTTTTAATCATATGACGAACAACTGCACAGAGAAAAACCTACTACGCTTTGACTGTCATGTGATGGATAGTAGAAGTGGCGGCTATCGAAAGAAGTCCATCGCTAATAGACAGGGCTGTTATTCCTGTTATCAAGTATGTGACGTCACAACGGGACGAATGTATTTGAATACTGTATTGGCAGTCATCAAATTTGTTGCACTTGTCTCGCCTTTTGTATACCTTAACATTTAAAATCTACATAAAAAATCAGTTTCTATTGATATTTTCTGGGATATTTTTAAAAAGCTTTTTTGGTATTTTCCAGCTTGATACCGACGGTCACACGTTTTTTGTCGTGTTTTTGCGTTTGTTTTTGCAAAATCAACAAAAAAGCGTGTAAAAACGCACATTTTTGTTTAGTTTTTAAAATGTTATGGTCCTTGGAACAGGTGGAGGGCATGTTGGGTGTCCTCAAAACCTCAACGGACAAAACTGTTATATACAAATGCCTAGTGAAGCTACGCACAGATGTGGTCAAAGATAAAGATGGAATTGTGTTGTTTCGAACTGCTGGGGGTGTTCCGGTAATGGTTCGCCTCATTAGCAAACTCAATGAGAAGATAATGGAAGTGGTTTTGAGCATATTGGGCAATTGCTGTACGGATGATCAGGCTTGCATAGAGGTGAGTTGGCCAATATATATTATGAAATAATTCTATAAATCGCCTTCTTAATTCCATAACAGGCTGTAGAGTGTAAGGTCATTGCCCCGTTAATAACTATATTGAAGACCATACCCAATTCATTGATCCAATGTCGCGCCTGCCGAATGCTAGGCAACCTGGCCAAGAGCAAGAAGGCTTCGTCGTTTCTAATTGTACACTATAGCGCCATAGCGCCTGCCATTTGCCATATCATTGAGTCTACAAGCGCGGTCCAAACCAGGATAATGGCCTTTCGCGTTTGTCGTTTTCTGTTGGTCAGCAGTCAGTTCTATAAACACTTTTTGGTCTCAAACGGATTTCTACAGCTAATGCGTATCTTTGTGGCGGTCATGAAAAACAACGAGCTGCCCAAGGCATCAACACAGGATATTGAAGTGTCCACATTGATTGGCCTAAAGCGTAATCAGCATCGTGAAAAGTATTTCGAGGAGGTGGCACGCAATCTGGAAGGCGTACGCAGCGATATTTTTGACTATCAAATGCTAAAGAACTCAACGCGAAACTGCGAATACATCCTGCCTAAGGAGCATGATGCCATTGAGCTTGCCTATGAGATCTTGAAATGCCTCATGCTACTCTCTGCACAGCAGATTGGCATGAGAGCCTGGGAGGTGCGTATTGAGCCAACACAAAGGATCGCCTATTCATGTTAAAACCTTTTCTTTTTAAGCTACTCTCGCGAAACACTTCCCTGGCACCCATAGTGTACTTTGTCAAAGAGGATAGCGAGCAGCGCGCATCGGCACTGAAGATACTATCTAACTTTTGCAAGGATCCCTGCGCCTTTTATATGCTCAGCACGGCGGATTCGATTGTGGCTGCCTGTGAGCTGCTTATGGCTGTCAATATGGCCAAGCCGCTATCGGAGAGCGAGTGCCGACATTGTGTGAATATTATATCCACGCTATCTGCCGATGCCTGTAGCCGTTCCAAAATACGACGCTGTGGTGCTCTGCGCAAACTGGTGGCCATGATCCGAGAGTCGCATTCACAGAGCGAACGCTCATCTGTGAGTTGATGCCTTACACATTTGAAACAAACAATTAAGAGTTCAATTTTTTTTTTTTTTTGAGTTATTTCACATTCTGAACAACTTTCAATATGACAATCTGAGTATGGAGCTGTTGCTGTATGAGGGCCTGGTGCCGATGCTGGTGCGTGAACTAAATGATTATCTGACCAGCGATGAGGAGCATCATAGGCGACGCCGCGAGGAACGTATTCAGGGCGGCAAGAAGCGCAAATTGACCGATCCCGCCACGCCTGAAACTCTGAGCAAGGTATTTCCATATATATTTTACCTATATTCGATCGCTAATAAGCTTAACAAATTCTATGACAGTTCTCCAAAACCCAAGAGTCAATTAATTCGGACTTTGAATCGCCTAGCAGCTCGCCGCGCTCATATAACACCACCAGCCCGTGCAGTTCGCGCAGCATGTCGCCCGTTTGTTCGAATCTCTTTGCTAATGATGATGATGAGAACTATTCACCAGCCTGCAGCGATGATGATGACGATGAGGATGATAGCAAGGCTAGCAATACTAATACGGATACACGCGAATCTCGCATAGCCACGAATCGTGCGCAGCCCGCCAATGTCATGGACATACTTAAGCTCATTGACGAGGGAACCGAAACTATTGACGATACCCTGTCCGATAAGGAGGATCTGGAGGAGCTGAGCTCCGATGTGCCGCCCAAGCTGGCACAGCTGCGCAATCAGGCGGGCGACACTATTGATGTCATTGAGAATTTAATTTACCGCATTACCCTGATGATTAACAAGCGGCCGGAGTTAGGAAAGCCGGAAACGCTGGATACTCTCATACGTGCCATTAATCTTTTTGGCGCCAATAACAATTTTGCCAATGCGCTCACCAATATATTGCTGTAAGTTGTGTGTTCCTGCTTATATATGTTGATTGCGTCATTAATCTTCTACTTAAAACAGCGAAAGCCAGTTCTTTGCCCAGATCATCAAGCATGGCGTTGTGCACCAGCTTTATCAGCTGACCAAAGTGGAAGAGGTATGAGTCTATAAATTTTAAACTTCTCAAACGTAAAGAAGGACATACAGTATTATCAGACAAAGCCAAATAAAATAAAAGATCCGATCACTTTATCATATAGCTTCAAGATATGCAAGCGTATTTAATCTTCGGAATCCCGAAGCTAACTCTTCGTTCTTGTTTCTCATATTCATGTTCTTAATTGCAGATGCGCAAGGATGGCTTTGCCTTTCTGGAGACGCTTACCAATGTGGGTGAATCCAACTACGGCAAGGAGGAGCTGGTGCGTCTGCTGCGTAGCGATGCGGATTTAAATGCACAACAACGTGCCGCTATATCCGTGGCGTACATCATCAAAAGCCATCGGCTGCTCTATCAGTTCTTATATGATGGTAATGCGTTGACTCTACTCTTCGACTTGCTGCTGCGCAAAAAAAGCGACAATTTGTATGCGGATGAGGCGGCGGATGCGGTTACGGCCATGTCACGCTTTACACTGGGCATTATGCTGCCCGAGTCAGAGCAGCCGGATGGGAATACGAACATCTGTTTTGCCCAGTTGACTGCGTCGGCAGCGCCATTGCATGAAAATTGTGACATGCGTTTTCTGGTACCCAGCGATCACGATGATGCTGAGGATGCTGGGAAGGATTCTGCTGGAGAGGTGGCAACGCTCACCATTGGCTTTAACAAGCAGCTACTCTGTGATACCAGCGAGGTCTTCAACAAGATGCTTAACAGCAGCTTTCGCGAGGGCCACGACGGCGAGATACAACTTCGCGATTATACGGCCAATGGATTGCGCTACTTTCTCCACCTGATTGGTTGCCATGCCCGGCATCTGACCATGCCGGACTATGGCGCCCTGCTGCAGGCCTTCGAGATGTCGCGCGTGTACATAATACCCGATCTGGAGGCGCTGCTGCATGAACGTTTAATACAATTTCTCGACGCGCACAATTGTCAGCGTTTGCTGGAGTGGGCTTTGAAGAACTACCACGCGGAACTCACAGAGACGGCGATTAGCTATTATTTATGCGCCTCGCTGCCGGCACAGGATAAGTTGCAGCTGTTTCGTGCGGCCGAGGATTCGGTTTATGCCAGCGAATGGTTTCAGCTGCTCAACGATGCGGTCTACGAGAGATGCCGCAGCACAGGCTATTAGCTAATTTAGCTCCCTGCCCAATCTGCCAACTGTATATGTGATTATGTGTGTCTCCCTGTGTGTATATTCGCGTGCGTGTGTGTGTGCCTGTGTGCCTGTGCCAAATCTAAACGCAATGTATTTAAAACCCAGGCCAAGTTTATATCAATGCACTACAATACTAATAATAAACATAATAAACTACATACTATAGTAAAATGTTGAATTTAACTGCACTGCGTGGACTCAAAGCTGGGCATGGCACAAAACTTAAGCACCAACCAATCCGTCAGTGGCGCCGGAGTAAGCTTAAAGAGCCAACGATAGATTCTATACCGCCACGGTTCGTGTATGTACATCGTTTCGGGCTGTGCATTGGTCAGCGCATCCCTGAACTTGTCAAGCAGTGCAGCATCCTGCAGCTGATTGGGTTTCTTGAAACCACCCAGTATGCTCAGATACTCATTGAATGCTCTAAAATAGCGTCCATAATGTTGCAATTGCTCGGCGTTGAATGCCTGCAACATTTGCTGTGCTTGCTGCTGCTGGCGCGCGGCTATGTTGCTGTCCAGCACAAAGGAACCAGGCACAAAGTTTACCACCTCCATGCCATATGGCTGCAGCTCAATGCGCAGCGCATCGTTCCACACCCGAAGTGCTGCTTTGGAGGCGGCATAGGGCGCCAGTGCGGGCAGTGCTTGGAAGCCACAGTGACTGGTCACGTTGATAATGCGTGCGCGATGCTGGCGCAGCAGCGGCAACAGCTGCCTGGTCAGACGCATGGTTCCCAGCAGATTGCAATTGATCTGCTGCTCAATTTGCTCCGGCAGCTGCCACTCAAATTCGCCAAAGCACATAACTCCCGCATTGTTGACCAGCGCCATTAACTGATAGTCCCTGCCGGCCAAAAGCTCGCCCAGCTTGCCATGCACCTGATCGATGGAGGCGGGCTGCAGCAAATCCAGTTGCCAGGTGTGCATACGATCCTGCTCAGCCGCACAGCTCATCTGCTGCAGCAGCTGTGCGCCCTGCGATTCCAGATTGTGGCAGCAGGAGATGACCGTCATGTGGAGCGCCTGGTAACAGTAGACGGCCAGGGAGTGCCTGCTCACATAAGTAAATATATATATTTATTTTATATATACAGTTGTGGATACTGCCACGTTTGCTTACCCCAAGCCCGAATCACAGCCCGTCACCAGCACCACTTGCCGCTGGCCCACGCTCAGCTGGCGCCGTCCCAAGCCCAGGGTGCGCTTCAAGGCGCGCAGCAGTTGATTACAGCTGCCCATGTCAGAGGATCTCGATGAACTGAAACGCACTCCCAATAAAAATAACATGCAAAGCGAACCCGAAATTTTAAATCATCTTATACATACATATATATATATATATATATATAAATGTGCACTTGTATACACGTAAAAAAATTTTCCCTTACATTTAAAAGAAAATTACTGTGGTATGAATATTTTCTAAATTGAAAAAAGTTGTTTAAAAATTTCAATTTCATCCGAAATTTAGAATATTTTTAATTTTCATGGCAATTTTTTAAAGTTTGGATATTCGTTTGTTTGAGTGCATATGTGTATATATAGGCTTTATCTGCAGGCATTATGCCGTCTGCTTAGGTATACATTTTGTTGTGTGTGTGTCTGTGCTAACACGCATACATGCATACATATACACATAGATCCGCCTGCTTGCGACGCGCACCTTTTGAGTCTTACCTGCGTTTTAGGCTGGTGCCAACAAAAATTGTATATATCATTTTATGTATCTTACACTCTTTATGAGAATGTTTACATTTTATCAAGAAATTGTTTTTGGCATGGAAGCAAAGTATATAGGTATATATATATATATATATATATATATATACTGGCGAGCTATAATCATGACTTTGTTTCCTTATCAGCTTCAGCTTTTATTTAGGAGTTGGTCGTCAGGGAACATGATATAGCTACGCTGTCATTAGAATAGGTTGAAATTTGGGTAAACGCATGAGAATTGAAAGAATTGAGCGTTGTAGTCTAAAGATTCTTTTGTTTTTATTAACTTGCAAAAGATATGATAACTTAAGTGCTATTACTGAGGAAGAGATGTATTATTCCAGCCCTGTTCGTCTTTTATTTTATATTTTCTTCACTTTCTCTTTTACTTACTTTTAAGGTTCAGCCTAATACCTGATACCAACCTGTCAAATCTTAACGCCAGCTGAGCTAGCGATTTTGTAATTTTATGCGATTTCAATATCGTTTCACACACATCCGTTCCGACTGTGGCCAGGTAGAACTGTGCCTTGATCGTGAAACCCTAATCGATCTCTAGATTGAATGGAATTATTTGGCTTTTAGGTTGTTCTGTATTATATTTTTATTTCTCTTACACAATTTTGGTTGTTTTACCCCATTTGGAAAGTGCATTTAATTCATATCTGTTTACAATTTTGTGAATTTGAAATCAAGAAATTTTATGATTCTAAAATTTGTTGCATAAGCAAAAAGGGGGTGTTTTTTATATACTTTTCGGGGACGAAGGAATTACTCGTATTAAACCGTAAGGCTATATCAAATATTTTTGCCTGATTTGCTTTGCTCGTTTTGTTGTATCATCATATATATATATATATAGTTCTTTTATTGCATAATACACATAATTACATATTAAATAATTGCTTTGCGTTTTGTTTGTCATTTCTTATAAATTGTATTTGAAAATAGAGCGCATTTTGCGTTTAGTAAAAATATATTTGGGTTTTCTTCTTGATTTTTTTTGTTCTTTTTGTTTGTTTTTTTATTTGTTTTATGCGCCTTAAGTAGTAAATAGTATAAGTATAGTTATTCAAATTCTCATTTTTCTCTCATTTTGAAACTATTATATCATTTGTTTATTCTCTTTCCCTATTTTCTCTTTATCAAGGCAACGTATTTAGTTTCTTTTTGTGTATTTTGAAATATTTAATTAATTTTTTTTAAATGTACAATTTTAAAACCGGCTTAGTTCCTTTCATTACACGCTCTGTTTAAGTTTCGTTTATCATTTAATTTAATTTATTTTTGTTTTAACTTGTTAATAATAAATATCACAACGCATCCATCATTTACAACATCTCATTCTTTTCTTTCACACTCTCAACGTGCTACAATTCTTTACTTAAATCATTTTTAACATTTCTGCAAATGTTTAGGCATTATTTGTTATAAATATTTCTATATATGTATATTTTTTGAAAACACACGCAAATGAAAAAATGGTTTAAAAAATTGCACAAAAATACAAGTAAATATATATATATATCATATAGCATATATGTATAGAGTTATTAATAATTGATACGGCAAATGATAAATTAAACGTAATAAAGATAATAATACAAAAGCAGTTACACATTTAACAGGGAAAACAATTACAATTATTAAATAAAGTAGCAGAACTTTTACACCGGCTCGGCTCTCCAGGCCATCCGCCTGCCCGCCACACCAGACCGTCGCACGACTGGGCGTGGCAGGTGCCGGACAACAAATCCGTGTTTACAAATTACAAAAAATTAACGTTACAAAAGTAGAGAAAACATTGTGTATAAATCTAAATTAGCGCTCGCTATGTAAACGTAAATCTGTATGCTTCAATTGTTGCATGCCGCACGCTGCATGCTGCATGCTGCATGCTGCACGCTGCATGCTGCATGGTGCATGCTGCTTGTTTACAGATTAAAAACTAAATGTAATGTTTGACTTTGTTAGCGACGCGCGCCACCGCCACGCACCCTACACTGGTTATAAGCTAACCAGCTTGGACGGCTCACTTGTGGGCGTTGGCAGCTCCAGCGGATGCTTGTTCTGGGACGAGCAGGTGGGCACCAGGGGACCGGATACGGGCGTCAGACCAGTGCCGCCATCCATTAGCGAATCAAAATTGAAGGTGCCTGTCGATGGCGTCTGTATCGGCACGCCCTGTATCTGTGTGGGTGGCGCCCTGTTGCCATCGTTGCCCAATTGCTGGACGACAAATGGTCGCTGCAACTGTTGGACATTGAGCGTATTGGGACGCGCCTTGGGCAGCTTGTTCAGTGCATTCAATGTGGGACTGTTGAGGTCGCCGCCAAAATTAGCAAATATATTTGGCGCCGTGCTAGTTATGGGCGTGTTCAGTGAACAGGAACCGGGGTCGGTCGGTGTCGTCAGGGATGCGGTCAGCGCGGCAATGTTGGGCAGCGCAAAGCAACGTTTGGCTGGCGGCGGACCATCCTGGTCCAATGATGAGCTCGAATCGAGGCCAACATCCTGCGGTTCGTTCTTGATGTGCTGCAGCAGCTGCTCATCAGTTAGCACCGGCTTGAGATCCAGCGGTGAATTGCTGCGACCCGTGGAATTGAGTGTGGCATCGAAGCCGGTGATGGTGCCGCCGCTGCTGCTGTCATTGCTGTTGCTGTTGTTGTTGTTGCTGCCGTTGCTGTTATTGTTGTTGCTGCTGTTGTTGTTGTTGTTGCTGTGTTGGCTACCAGTGCCCGTGCAGCTGCCGGCGCTGAGCAACGTGGTCGGTGCAATCAATCCATTACATGTGACCACACTGAGCAGATCATTGCGCACCTTCTGACAGGTGGGCCTATGCGCCTGGAGGACATATTCCAGCTGGTTTTTGGTCGCATTCAAATTCTCAATCTCCTTCTTCATGTCCTCGCCCTTCTTAATCAGCGCATCGACCTCCTCGGTCAGCTCGTTGGTCTGATCGACGCGTCGCTTGCGACAGCGCGCCGCCGCTAGCTTGTTGCGTTCGCGTCGTATGCGACGCTTCTCCTCCTCCTCCGGAGACATGTTGGCCGCCTTGTTGGGCCGACGTCCGCCGCCGCGACGCGCCGGAGTGCCACTGTTTGAGGTAGTTGAGTTGCCGCCAGCCTGGCCAGAGGCGCGTCCAGCATTGTTGACCGCCGCCAGAGCGACGGTGAAGTTGTTGACACCACTATTGGAGCCATTGCCCAGCATGTGGCCACCATTCTGATACGAGGTGCTGTCTGTCGCGGCACTAGCTGCAATTGTCGAGAGTTGGGAATTAGTAAGGGGACACAATCTGGCTGCTGCAGCAATAATTACTCACAAGTATCGGTTGTGCTTTGGTCATCATTCAGCTGGCCATCGTTCCAGGAACCGTTGGAGTCCTCCGTATCGCTGCCGCGCAAACTGTTGCAATTCAGGCCAAGCAAATCGAATTGCGGATTCGCATTGATCGGATTCGCATTCACCACCGCCAATGTGGCAGCTGCCGCCGCCGCCGCCGTTGTGGGCGTGACAGTATTGTTCGTTATAGCGCCCAGCGATGTCAGCGGCGGTGGCTTAAAGCCCGCCTGAAAGGGCACAATTTGCGGCTCCGTGGTCAGCTCATAGATGGTCTCCTCAATGGTGCGCAGCGTCGTCGGCGTCAACGTCGGCGTTGTCAGCGTCGGTGCACTCTGCATGCCATCAAATGTAACGAGCTGCAAGATAACACAGAATGGGGTATTCCAATAAGTATTTAACACTCTAGTATTTAAAACTAAACATAATTCCATCAGGCAATTTCTCAATAAAAATAAAAGATGACTTCTCCCATGAAAGTCACGTTAGGATTCATTGAAATGCTGGGGCGCGGCCAACTTAACGACCTTACAAAATATAAACATTTTCGATATAAAATAGTTATCGATATTTCGAATGAGAGAAGCCGCCTTGAGACTCCCTAAAATAGCCAGCCGCAGCCAACTTAACAAGCACCCAATATATAAGAAGAAGCAGCTCAATCTAAGAAATACAGGCACATAAAAAGTTAAAACTTTCATAAGTTGTCAACTTTTAGTTTTTTTTCGAAACTGAAACAACCTGATTCTAATTGAAAATGACGACACATAAAATAATATAAATGTTAAAGAAGATAAAATACAGACGCCTAATTCTATTAAAGAATAGAAAGAAGTTAGATAAAAGTTATCGATATTGTTCTAGTTTAAAAAATATCCTTGCAATTCATAGAGTTCATTCTCAGGCACAAAAATAAACACGTTGAAGCACATAAATATTGCTGCTTTTTATGAGAGACAAACAGGTAAAGCATGTGAAAGAAGTATCGATATTTATCGATAAGCTTAACATACAAAATATTAGAAGAAAAAAGAACTAATGACAATGCATTTATGACCAAGGCAAACATGTAAGCCCCTTTTTTTCACAAGTTCGGCTTCTGACGTCGATACATAACTATCTTATGATCATAGTTCGAAACAGAAGTGAATAACTATATAACAACATTCGATAAATCGATAGTCGAATATTTATGGAAAATAGAGAAAATTGATGATCGGTTGTTATCATATAAAAACCGTGTTGTGCAGTGTGATCGTATGTTGTATATGTAAACAATGTACTTTGGTCACACTGATATTAAGATATAGTACAGTTACTGCTCTGAACACAAAAGTTTCGATATGCTGAGCCCATTCATTGGTGATGATCGATAACTTATCGCCTGTTATTGAGCTATCGTACCTGCTGCATAAAAAGCTCACTGGCCAAAAAATTTGCAATTTCGCTGGCATTATCCAATGCTAATTTATCGCCATTTGTTGTTGCTGCCGTGGACAATTGTTGCTGTTGCTGCTGCTGTTGTTGATTATAATTAATATGCGCGCAATTGTTGTTGTATTGTTGTTGTTGCTGCTGCTGCTGTTGTTGTTGCTGCTGGCTTAAAAAGCTTTGCATTTGGCACATGGCGGCCATTGCGGCTGTCGCACTGTTCGCGGCGTTGGCGTTGCTGCTGCTGCTGTTGTTGCCGTTCGCACTCACAGTAGCAATTGATGCTGCTTGCATGTTGCTGCGTGCAGTCTGTGTCATGTTGGCGTTGTTGTTGCTGTTGTTATGGCCGTATGATTGCTTTGCATGTTGTTGTTGCTGCTGCTGTGGCTGGTAGGCCGACAGCGTGGGCTGTTGCTGACGTAACAATTGCTGCTGCTGCTGCTGTTGTTGTTGTTGTTGCTGTTGCAGCTGTTGTTGATAGTACTGCTGTTGAGTATACTGCTGCTGCTGCAGCTGGTTGTATGGCGCCGCATAAGGCAGCTGCAACAGCTGTTGTTGCTGTTGCAATTGCTGTTGTTGCTGCTGCTGATGTTGCTGCTGCAGCTGCAACTGTTGCTGATAGTAGGGCTGGTAGCACGCATTATGCGTTCTACCATTGAGATTTTTCATCATAACGCGCGTGGCTTATAGACTAGTTTGTGTGTGTGTGTGTGTGTAGCTTAATAAATATTAAGTATACGCAGTGAGCAAATATCACGTATACGCAAAGTTCGATATTTTTGTGTTTTGACTAGCTTTACAAATATTCGTTTTGGCGTAAAACAATATAAATGAACAACAATTATGTGTTATATATATATAATCTATATGCTATATATTCTTAGTTTGATTATTAACAACAGCGTGTTAAAGAAAATTTATGTTAAATTAAATATTTACAGCAAACTTTTCTTGGAAAAGCTAAAAATTGTAATGTTGCTTTTGCTGATCATTAAATAGTTGTTGTTGTTGTTGTTGTTGTCGTAGTTGTTGTTATTGTCGTAGTTGTTGTTGCTCTTGAGTTTTGGGGCGCCAAAATTAGGTTCGTTCGTTTCGCGTTTTTGGCTTTTGCGTTTGCCTTTCGTTTATCATTTATTTGTTCGTTCGTTTTGGACTTAAGATTCGTTGTTATTGTTGCTGCGTTGCTGCTGCTTCTTATCCGCTTTCCGGCGGCTTCAGACGCGCCGCCAGCAGCGTTTGCCAATTTCGCAAGGGTTCGAAATGTGCGTGCAGCTTGGCCAATGCAAACATAATAAATTAAATTATGAAGACAACAAACAGGCACGTGTTGACAACGTTTTAACAAATCAAATTTTAAATATATATATATAATAACAATTGCAATAATAGTGACAATTATTATTAACAACAAGAAAAAAACACGCCCGGCTGCGGCAAGAAAATTGTTTTTAATTGCAACCAAATTGCGCGTGTTATATAATTATGTTGTTGTTGTTATTGTTGTGCGCTCAGCTCTATATACACACACATATATATATATATCTATATGTATATAGGTTTGCATGTGCATATACTATATGTGTATTGTGTACATTTGTATATGTATTTCGTTGCGCTCTTTTTTTATATATATCTATATGTTTAGGGCCTCGCAATTTGCACACGCCTAAATTTATGTTTAATTAACTTAACTCGGGCCACGCCTCTAAATAAACTTTATTTTTACATATGCCTTTACATATATATATATAAATATATATCTGTATATACATATATAAAAATTGTATGTGCATTTCAGCACGCGGCGTGCAGCGAAAAAACTTCGTCTTTTCTTTTTCTTTTTTATTTTTATTTTATTTTTATATTATTTTTCTTTTCGCTTAGCTCAATTCCTGCTCTTTAAGTTAATTTCATTCGTTGTTTCGAAATTCGTTTGGCAATTGCACGCGGCTGCGAAAAAAAAACAACAACAATAAAAGAGCACAATTTGATTTTTATTTCTATTTGATTTATTTTTGTTTTTTTTTTTCTTTGCAATTTTCGTTTTTCCGTTTGCTTTCAAAATATTCTTTTTCTTTTTCGTTTTATTTTTATTTCGTTTTTATTTTCGGGCCGCGCGCGAGCGATCAGCAGCAAATGTTTTTACTTAATTTCAAAATTCTAAACTTCGATGGTTCGTTGTTCGTTTGCGACTGAGCGAAAGAAATTGAAATTGGCAGAAACGATTCTTTGAGATTCAGATACAAATGCACACACACGCAGAGAGAGTGTGCGTGTGTGTGTGTGTGTGTGTATGCGCGTTGTTGTTCTCCTGAGTGTGTTTCTGAGTAAATTAGACGATGACAACAACAGCAGCAACATCAGCAACAACAGCAATAATAGCGTTTAGCAGCTAAGCAAATCGAATAAATTTGAAATGTGCGCGCGCTGCCTGCTCTTAATTAAGGCAGCAGCCCACACAACAACAACAATAACAACAACAACAACAAGAGCAGCAGCAGCAGCAGCAAGAAGAGGCAGCAACAGCAGCAGCAACAGCCCACGCCAACGGCAACAGTTGCTGCCATAAGTTTAGCCATAAACATTTGTTCAGCTAGTTTGATTTCTAGCGAATCTTATTTATGCTTATTTATAACAATAATTCGTATGCTATAAAAGGTATCTGCACTAACTTGAGCAGCCTGCACACTATTCAAGTCACACTAACTAAAGTTAGTAAGCGGCTTACAATAGACCAAATACATCTGAAATTAGTGGCAAAAGCAGTTCAAAAAAGATAAAGATATATAAAAGTGGAATCAAATATGCCCAGAAGCAGGTGACAGCGGCTAGTCGTGGCAACTCTGCGATGCACTACTTTGTAACACTTTTCTTTAGCCATACGGCAACTCTCATTTCCACCCAAAGACATGTGCCTAAACGCTTGTGCTGTCAGAAATAATCAGCTAATATAACATCAATACGCCTCTTTCAGGCTGTCAGCCGGGAGCATTTAGCAAGAGTTATGGCGTATATATTTTGTATAAATAGCAACAAGAGCTGTCACAGTTCCCAGAAGAAGACACAAACAACAAATAGTACAAGAAAGAAATGCAAGTGCGTGTGCCGTCAGATTGCCTGGGAGCAGGTGTCTTGTCGCTGGCAATAAACAATAACAATTATTGTATTTCAAGAGCTGTGTAGCTAGGCATACGAACAGTTGCCAAACGGCATACTTTTACACCCTGAACCCCTTTGAAAATGTGTAAGGAGGGTATGATGCATTTGTGCAAATATATGTAACAGGTAGATGGAAGCCGTCCCGACCCCATAAATTATACAGATTTTTGATCAGCATCAACGGCTGAGTCCGTCCGCATGTTCGCAAGGAACTCGGAATATATAAGGGCAAGGGTTTTACAATTTAGAAGATAGCTCCCTCTCTATGAACATTTTTCCGATAATCGACAACTTGTCCCGTTTCCATGTAGCTTCTAGAATAATATACAGATCAAATATCTTTCATTTTAAAGCTACCCGCCCACCCTTGCGCCAGCCTCATTCGACTTTTGTAGAAGAAGGTGCAGGGTATTCCATAGTTGGGCACTCTCGACTAGAGCCCTCTTGTTTATTTTTGGGTCTGGTTTAAAACGAGCAAATTGCGTTGTTCAACACTGAAAACAAATGCGGCGCACTTCGCATTGTTGTTGTTTGCTTTGATTTTGGGGCGCAGTGAAATTTGTTAATGTTTATCTGCTTTCTTTTTTTATAAATATTATCGCGGGGCGTTGATCCTTTGACTTATCGCTTTGCATTTCCTTCAACTCGTTATTTGCTGGGCAACAATCAAATTTATTCTTTGTGTATTTGTTGACTTAAGCTTTTGAAGTTAACCGCCTTTTTGTGGTTTTTGTTTGCATAAATGTTTAAACATTTGCGACTCTCGTTT